TATATGAAAGGGAAGCTTGATTTGAGTTGAAATTGGAGTTTAAGAGCATGATTTTCATTAGATAAATTCACTTTTATGTTGCTGCTGTAGAGGATGAATTGATTTGAATGTTTCTTTGAGGTCAATCGATTTCCGTTGAAGGAATAATAAGATTAGGTTGCTTGGAAATTGAAGTTTGAAAAATTGATAATGAAAATTTTTAAAAAAGGAAATTGAAGACAGCGAAGCTTGGTACTATAATTGGATATTGATGCCTATAAAGTGTTTAATAAAATGCTTATTAGAAGAGTTTTGATTGATTTTTTTTTTTTATAGATGTGTAATCTTGTTAATTTAATAAGAAGCATGCTTGGGCTTGAGCAATGTTAATTGGTTACTCTAAATTGAGTTTTGTGAAGGAATCTATTTTAGGAGTTAATAAGATATTGTTTGAGTTCTGGATTGTGGGGAGTTATATGGCTCACAAGTCATAAGACATATTATCAATTTAAAAGTTATATTTGGATATTGAAAATTTGTTAGGGTAAGATAATTAAAGGGTATGTATTTTTTATGATTTGGAATGTTGTATAGTAGGTGTTTTAACAAAAAATCTAAAGAGAGAGTATATTTTACTGACTAGCTAACTATGGGCTAGAAATCTTTATGGGTGGGTGAATTGTGCTCATAAAATTTCAAAGTTATTATTATTAATTTTGGCTGAGTGGATTCTCTTGGAAAGTAATCTTGTTGATTCAAAAATAAAGTTCATCAAGATACTATTATGTTTTATACGATATTTGGAAGAGGAGAAATTTGCTTGAGGTGGCAAGAGGTGATTTTTGAATTTTGGGAATACTTGAGGTAAGTGGATAGCGTCCCAACTGATTTATCAATAAAAAATTATTCACCCGAGTTTGATTTTGAGAATATAATTTATGTTTTCATAGTGGTAATTTTCTCGTATATTTGAAAATGATTTAGGAGGGGATTTTATATAGAACATTAGTTGCTAATGGCAGTTCCATTAGCCCTTGACGTGCCATGGTCAATGACTAGCTAGTTTAATTTTTGTGAGCTCTGTTCTTGCATTTTGTTTTTGTGGCTTCAAATTGCATTTAGTTAGCATTACCCTCATGGACTGTATATCCATGTTTGTTTCATAGCTTAGGTTGCATTTGGGTTACTTATCCTCATGAATTTTGTATCCACATTTATCTTTATGACATAAGCCATTTACCCTCATGAATTATGTGTCTACATTTGTGAATTGTCCTAATAAATCTCCAGAAATATGAATTTTTAATTAATTGATGATTTCACACACTAATGATTTTTAACTATCAATGTTATATTTTCATTTATGTACTCATTTAATTATTTTGACATGTCAAGATATTAGAGCTATTTGGTCATTATGAATTTAAAGTTTCTTGATATTGAAGTTATATAGAAATTTTATTCTGAGCTTACAAATTTATTTCCATTGAATTACTTTCTCTTTAGTTTATGTAACTAGTATATTTTATTCACTTTAATGTTAAAAAATGTCATGGTTGGAAACATTATTTACTGAAAAATATTTTTGGTGTCAGATAACCTATGCCTTTGTTAGATCATTCAAGGGATTTTGTTACTAAATTGAAGTTGAGGCGCCATTTTGGTTAATTTCTATTTTTGATGTAAAAATTTTTAAACCTATATATTGTACTTTTATAAATAATGTTATAATTGCTTCACATAGGTTATGGTTAGAATCCTTATTTTATTAAATATTTTGGTTTGCTAGTTGAAAGGAGATGAGGTTCTAGTTGTTATAATATTTGTTTGAAAATTTGTATTATAAAATTTTGTGAGATTTAATTCTCAAAGAAAATTCTGTTGAAATTTTTACAAAAATATTAAAGCTAGATTTAAATAAAAAGTATTTTTAAATGAAACATTTCTTGAATTAAGCTTAAGGAATATGTGTTTAGGTGCATATTACTTATTAATCACTCCTATATTTTGGGTGTGACAGATCATTAGCCAAGACTTTAGCCAACTAATTGGCTTTAATAATGTCAATGCAAGAGATTAAAAGCTTGACGCTAAATTGTTGCTCAAACAGTTCTGGGTTGAATAACAAGAATCCAACATCTGTTGGGCCTCTAATTAATTTCATACCTCCCTCCCCCTCTCATCAGATGAGACAGAAGAGCTAGAAGATTTATCCAAAATTAGTGAGACAATGATGACTTCAAAAGGTCGTCACCTATTTGTTAATGAGTTCATTATATATTAATGAGCCTAATCTTAATGTGGGCTTGGACGAGTAAGGCAAGTCATGTTAATAGGCTGGATGCTCATTACGGAATTTTTTTTTTTTTGAATAATATTACAGAATGCTCATTACAGAAAATTGGGTTGGGGGATGTAGTTGGACACAAGGTGTTGGTCTGGCCGTGCGGAGAAAACCGTTACCTCTTTTCCTTTGATATTCATGCTTTGGCCTCCTCCTTTTTCTTGTAGTTCTTTCTCTTCCTCTCTCAGATATTTTCTTCTCTCTGTAGCTGCTGCTTCTCCATCCTTTTCTGCGCCTCTTATTTTTCAGTGACATTGTTCTTGAGTGTTGCTACTGTGCATGTATTTACCTAATTTTCCTAATTAATGTATTTGGAACTTGAGTTATTTGATGGCAAAATATTCAGAGACATTTCTTGAACTGTTATTTGGCTTGAGCTTTTTCAAGATAACCATCACATTTGATTTCAGAGTTCTGAATGATACTCGCTCTTATTTGATAATATTGCCATATATGTCTCCCCTCACAAATTCAAAGCAATAACAAAGGCATCAGTAACACACACTATAGTAGTATTTTCCTAGGCAGCTAAGATAGAATTTCACATTACATCCACAAATTCATACCCATTATTCTTCCCATACACGCAACTTCATAAGCAGCTTCACATTTTAACAGCAAGTACCATCACAGACCAAACAGAAACCATAAACATGAAGCGAAATCATGAAGACGGATTAACCAGATTGTGAGTGGACAGAGTATGGTATAAGTTCAAGAAAAAGAGGGACCTTCTTCTTCACTGTGAGCCCATACATCTCGGTCATATCAATCTCACCATCCCAGATTCCAGTCAAACCAGTGAAGAAGATTAGCCAGTTCATACTCAACTGAAGCAAGTCCAAAGGCCATGCCAGGACATATCCTTTTTCCAGATCCAAATGGGATGAACTCAAAGTCTTTCCCTTTGAAATCTATCTGACTGTTCTCAACTCTCTCCGGGATAAACTCTTCAGGCTTTTCCCATATTTCAGGGTCCCTTTGGATTGCCCATGCGTTCACAAACATCAATGTTTTGGAAGGAATGTCGTATCCTCCTAATTTTGCATTGCCGATTGTTTCTCGAGGGACCATGGAAGGAGCTGGTGGGTGTAATCTAAGCGTTTCTTTGATGACATGTTTCAAGTATTTCATGCCGTTTATGTCAGCTTCGTCCACTTTTGATTTGGACCCCACCACTTTCCTGACCTCTTGTTGGGCTTTCCTCATGATTCTGGGATGTCTCCGAAGCTCCGTTAAAATCCACTCTAATGTCGTTGAAGTAGTGTCATTCCCTGCTAAAAACATGTCCTGAACTCATTGAAATGCAACAAGAATCAACTTCTGCTTTTTATTTTTCCCTTTTATCAAATCTCACAATTATCTCCCAGATCAGCTGGCTCTATTTGGTTCAGATAAATTCCTTGGAATAGAATCAGCTGATCATCCTATTGAGGGGAACAAAATTTTCTGTTTTTATTAAGACTCAAGTTTGATATCTACAATATAATGAAAAAGAAAAACTAGCACCGAACTAGAAACATGAATTTTGCTGTTTCTCAATAACTTCAGTTCATGTCTTTTTTTTTTTTTTTAAAGCCAACTTCGGAGTTCCGATCTAATATGCAAATATAAATCTAACATATGCATGATATATAATAATAAGATATAGATCAAAAGGTATAATAAGAGACACAGCTTAAGCTTTCATCAGTTATTTATTATTTTCATTACGTTAAAACATGATAGAAAATAGCTAAAAGCAGTACTTTAAACGAAAGCTCATTAACAACAAACAGCAACGCTAAGTGAAATGAAAGGGATTCAGAAGAGACCGTTATGATTGCTTTAGGTCATCTTTGGTGGGTTCGAATTCAAGCATATCACTGTCTTTCAGTTGAAGAAGAATATCCACAAAGTCTTTCTTCTCGTCGTCCTCCTTCATCGCCAGCTTATGATCTTCTGTTACCTGATCAAAGAACCCATCTATTGCTTTAAAAGTGTCTCTCAGTTCTTGGATTTTCCCACTCAGAACATCGATCCAACCCAAGGAAGGAAAGAAATCTCCCACTATTAATTCCGCCCGATGGATCATCTCCTTCCTCGCAAGCGTCCCCAATCTTCCACTGCTCTCTTCTGGATCATACTTCTGTCCAATTATACATCTGAATATTATGTTGGTGGTGGTCGCAGTTATGAGGTCACTTATGTTCACAGAGCAATTTGTGTCACTCACACAGGCTCTTCGTATCTCGTTAATCATTTCTGCAACTTCTTCATCTCTTATAACCTGAAAGGATCGAACCCTTTTGAGGCTGAGAAGTTCAAGCACACATATTTTCCTTCTCTGTCTCCAACTTTCACCGTAGGTTGCATAGGAAATATCCTTGCATCCATATAGTAAGGTTCTCGCTGATATGCTTTGGAACCTGCCGGCAAAAACTGCGTCTTGATTCTTTAGGACTTCTCTGGCCAAATCTGCAGAAGAGACTAGTAAAGCTGGGATTCGACCGAGCTGTAGCCACAAGAGAGGACCGTATTTCAGAGACAGGTCTCTGAAAGAATGATGAGGAAGAGTTCCTAACTGGACAATATTGCCAATAATCGGCAACTTTGGCGGAGATGGAGGCAGGTTATAAGGTTGGGTTTTTCTTGGTCTTGAAAGTTTGAACAGAAACAAGAAGGTGACCAAGCCCAGGAGATACAAGTAAATGGTGGCATTCAGAAACGACATATTCGATGGTGATTCCTGGTATTGAAAGGTTTTCTTTTCTTTTCTTTTCTTTTTAACTTGGCTTAATTTTTATAAAAAAGAATTGGCGGAAGAAGGCTTATATAAGTAGTGAGGATTGCAGAATGCTAGTTTATGTATGAAAGACTCACAAATAGATAACACACATGCGTGCATATATATATGCATGTGGATATATATATATATATATAGACATATATGTCTTTGTTTGTCCTTACATTCATAAGACAACCATACTACTGTTTGGAATTTTCCCTAAATCTGTATCTATATATTCATAAAACTTAATATAAATCTAGTTATGTGTTAGATGAAATTTGAGAAATGAACCATTATGAATAATACACAGCTTTCTTCATATAAATCATGTGCACACACATGTATATGAACAATTAATGCAACTTTTAAGAGATGTTTTATATGATTTCATATACAAGTTTCACTGTTCATGTAAGTTAATTTTTCCCCCCTATGATTTATATTCTAGAAGCCACCAAAACATTGTGGCTTGTATTAGGTTTTGTGTCTCTCTATATCCTATCATTATTATTCTTATTATTCTCTTTTCGTTCTACTTTCTTGACATTTTAAATTTATTGCCTAAAATTTTGTTTAAAAAACTATCTTTCAATTTCTGTAAGGTTATCATTCAACTAGAGAAAAATCTAGGGTGACAGAATAACACATATAACTATCATACAAATTTTTTATTTAAAAGAATAAAAGATACAAATTAGTCCTTAACTATAAATTCAAAAGAGTCTGAAATTTTAAACTTATTTTTTACAATATTCTTCTTCACCTTTTAAAATTGATACAATTTGATCTCTACTATCAATAAAAGTTAAATTTAACCTGTTGCTCAAACAATAACAAAGAAAAACTTTAAAAATTTCAGACAAGAACCGCTAGATATTGAATCTGATACCTTGAAATTAAAAAAAGAAAAAAAGGAGTCCTACGCAACACACACCAGATGGCTAAACATGTGCATGGAAAAAGATAATTCGAATGTTGGTGAATGACAGAGAGTTATGCTTCGTAGCTTGCAAGTGTACGTTAATGATGTTCCATCAGATTTTTGCAACAGCCTAGAATCAGCGACATGAAAACGATGATGCCATCCCATATACATACATACATACTATAAATTTAAAAGGAAACGCCAAAAAGAAGAGAAAGAAGTAGAAGTAATTAATTGAAAATAATTGGTCAGCGCATGTGGGATACCTAACGTACTGTTTGCTTCAAATTCTTGTGATCATTTATAATTAACAATAATAGTCTCCTGCTCCCGTAATAATCATCATTTTAATATAAACATATTTTTGTGATTTTGTTATAAAAAATCATGTGTGGCCAGTCATAATCACGTAAGTCTTTCTCATCATCATTTTAATATTAACTGGAGATGAGAAAAGGGTTGCGGTTGGAAGTGTCAGCTGAAAAGGCCCGCTTGCAGGATATGATTTTTCTAATCCAACCCGCCAACTGCTCCCTCCCTCCCTCAATATCTCTCTCATTCTTTTATTCTTAAAAATTATACTTTTTGCATATCCTTTTCTTCCAATATTTTGAAACTTAAACCGGACAATGAATTAGAAAGAGTAACAGGTCATGATTTTCATGGTTCAACCAGCAGTCCAATTGATGACATAAAAATTAAATAAAAATAATATTTATATATACAAATGTATAAATAAAACATTAATTTGTCGATGGTGTCTAGGATCTCAACACCAAAGACTATGTGCCTAGACCACTAGAGTTGGAGGCAAAGGCATGTCAGCACAAGTTCATGATCTTAAAGAAAAATGCTGGAGTTGAAGGCATGTCATCATGTCACAATTCACAAGCTTCCAATCTCGATGTTAAAGGCTGAATCACTAGAGCTGAAGCCAAAGACTAGAAGAGAGATCAGAGGTTGAGCTTGAGCTGTGGAGGAAAAATCATAAATTAGAGAAGAGAAGACATAAGAGAATTGAATATTAGAGAAGAGAAATCGTGAATCTGATCGACTGAGCCTAAGTTCTCTCTTTTTTTAGGCTTGGACCTAGTTGACCAACTTCTGTTCCTAAGTTAACTCTGATTCTCTTAAAACTGCCTAGGTCAATCTGATCCAAATATCTAGGTAGTCCAAATAGCTGAACCAAACTATTTTATTGAGCAGTCAACAGTTGGATCGATCAGATTATCTAGTTAGGTCTGGGTTTGAAAACACTGCTTTCTTCTGTGCATGAAATCCTTTTTATATTGAAATCCTAATAATTAAATACATTTATAAAGTGTTAGACTTAATTACCTTTAACTCGATCCATATGAGATCCTTGAACTCATATGTATGATTTTTCATAATCATGTTTTATATTCGAGATCACAAAGTTAGTTATTAATATATTCACAAAATATTAAATTGAATAGTTTTGCACTAGTATAAAATGGTGGATTTTTCCAAGAAAACCCCACTCCAGTTAGCGATTCCAATAACAACACATTTGTCATTGCATATATCCATCAGCATCAAAACATTTATATAATTGATTTGAAAATAATTAATTATATATTCAAGTCTTGAAAATCAAAGAAAAACAAAAATAAGACCAATGAGCATATATTAGTGTTTGCATGTGCGTGAGGGTATCTTACCATTGCTCCGGGCGTATTTGCTAACGAATAGAGTTTATCCAACTTCCTCAAAGGCTCCAAAGCCCAATAAAAACAAGCTGGACCTGTGAATTGCAAGCACAAAGCCAAGTGCTACGGTATTATATCACATAAAATATGTGAAATGTTTGAAAGCTATTGAAAAAGCATTTTTTTTAGAGCACAAAGGATATTTGAAAGGTATTCAAGTTCGAATCAGAGCCAAAATTAAGAATTTATTAGTACAACTATTCTTATAAAGAGGCATGAATTTTTGGTGTTATGTTCATGATCCCCATCGCTAAGGATCATCAAGCTACTCTCATGCATGCAAATAATAAGAACATCCCTCGCATGACTTTTCACGTTCAGTCAACTACATATATGTACACATGCCGTTATTACCTTTTATTGCTGTGAAAATGAAAATTAATCAACGAAGTAATTTTCCATTCAAACTTATAACCTGCTGGTGAGTGGGGTGAGCATACCCTTGCGAACTACCAAAGTCAAGAGTTTGAATATCTGGTGCTGTTGAACCAAAATAATAATATAATAATAAACAAGTAGTTTTTTCAATATATATATATATATATATATCAAAATATATAGATAAACAGAAAAATAATCTTTAAAGGAATATAATTCTTATCTCCATTGAGCCACAACACTAGTGGTTTAGTAGAAGGCTAAATGGGGACTCCACAAAAGTAATAGAAAAGGCTCTTCCAACCTATGGATCAACAGTAACATAACTAATATATTAGTAACAACTAAATTTGAAACAATTTAGGGAAAAGAATAAAATTTAAAAAAAAAGGAAGAGTCTCTTCTAAAAATTGAACCTCCAAAAAATTTTACAATTAAAAATACACAATTTTACACCTAATTAGCAGCAGCAGCAACAACAACAATAACAACAACAATTTGATTACATATAAACAATCTAAGGCTTTAAACAGCCACTAACAGCACTTACCTAAAAACAATTACACATTAACTAATTAAAAGTAAATGATCCAAATTCTCCTCATTTTTTTAAAACCTTTTAAAATTAAGGAAACTAAAGCTATCTATAACCTGTTCTAACGTGAATAATTAAATTAAAATTTAACAAAAATTATAATTGCAGTAAAATACAAACTGAAATTGTATATCTCTCACACACACATATAAATTATAAATTAAATTAAAATAAAAGATTAATGTAAAAAAAATACATCTAGCATATGAGGAAACCACGATAAAGTTATTAAAGACCCATAACAACTAGTTAAGGAAACCACCATGAGTACAGTTAAAAATGGAGAAGATGAATAAGGGGGAGTAAGATTTTTGGAGAAATGGAAGGTATGGTTTCAAGAAGAGGATGAGAATAAGTGGGGAAGATCAACACCACTAAAAATATGAGATTTCAAGTAAAGAGAATGGTGAGGATTGAGGAGAAAATCACGTCTATGTGTGAGAGAAATTGCAAAAAATGGTGTCTGTGCAAGAGAAGGAAGAAGATACTGAAATTTAAAAAACTGTCTACATCAGTTCCTTATTGATGTAGAAAGTATTTTTCACATCGATTATAACTAAAACCGATGTAGAAAGTAATTAATTTTTAATTTTTAAAAATCTTAATCACTTTCTAATCAGTTGAAAAATCAAACAATTATGTTGATAATTATAAAATTACTACCGCCTTGTGTTACTATATTGTTAGCCTAACAGTTGATGTAAAAGTTTCCTGTAAAAAGTCAAGTCTGTATTATGAATGAACTTTTGACAACTGACAATTAGCCAATAGAAAACCAAACACGTGCTCAGTCAAGCTTGAGGATGTGATGAATTGTAGGTACATGAAAAATTCAATTTCTTGCATGAAAAATTAATGGATCACCACACCTATCTATCTTCCAGCACGCATCCACAATCATTCACAATCGGAATATTTGTTTGTGGCCACGCATGTGCTTAGCTTTGTGATAAACTTTGAGTCTTCTAAAATCAGAATGTGTCCGAAATCGGAACACGAGCATTCACATTGGGGAATTTGCTTGTGTGTGAGAGCACCCATGTGCCTTGGCGATGGAGTTTGAATCTCCCAAGATCAAAAGCTGTTCGAAATACGTACAATTTTCATTGCTTTATATAAATAATCTTTTAGAATAATTTTATAGTTTAAAATGTGAAACACTTTGCAAGAACTTGTGTATTTTCGATTCTTTAACTTTAACACATTAATTTATTATAACAAAATTTTATATTAAATTTTTATAACAAAACATTCTCAACTGTTGATTCATTAAGTTTATTATTTTTTAAATAACAATAATTGACACAAAAAATAA